GAAGGAAGGAAGGAAGGAAGGAAGGAAGGAAGGAAGGAAGGAAGGAAAAGCTCAAACTAGGCGACAGACTCCCCTGCATGCTAAATAAACCACTTCTTTGCAAATAAGCCATAAAGGACCTTGTCCATCATCAGCTGAGCAGAAGGCAGTATGTTATCGAGCGCCTCGGTTGAGTTGAGCCAAGGGTGATCCAGGACGCCTTCCGTCGTCAGTCTCTCCTCTGGCTTCACCTTCAGCAGCCTGAGGGTTTTTAAGAAACGGATCCATCACTCCGTTGACCCTTTAAGGCGGGGCTCTCCAACCCCTCCAGCCCCTTTTAAGACCTGGGGACTTCAACTCCCAGAGTCCCCCAGTCAGCCGTGCTGAAACCTGAAATCCACAGGTCTTAAGGTTGGACACCCCCCCACCCACCCCCGCCCGCTTGGAGGTTGACTGCAGCTATTTGGTGGGCGGCAGCTGGACGCTCCTAAAAGCAGCGAGCGGAGGCCGAAAGCCCTGCTGGCCATTGGCCCAACATTGGCTGGAAGAAGAAGACGACGGCAGCAGCAGCCGAGTTGGACCAGAAGTGGCCAAGGCTCCCAGGACGCGCTTACTTGCGCACGACGTCTTTTGCCATTTCTGAGATCTGGCTCCACTCTTCCTCCGGGAACTCAAAGCTTCCCGTCATGATCTTTTTCCTCATGTCCTTAGGAATCGTCCGGCTGTGGTGCTTCGAGTAGAACGGTGGGTACCCACACAGCATCACATAAATGATGACACCCAGGGACCATAAGTCACAGCTCTGAAGGGAAGGGACGAACAAACGATCAGAAACGTTGGTCTCTGATGGATGCCGGTCCCCACCCAGGAGGAAAATCCCCTCTGCACAACTGAGCCACAGCCGGCCGAGCATCCCGGGGGCCCAGAAGTCTACCTTGTTGTAAGTGTAGGGGGTGGGTGAGGTAGGGATAATGCCACACTTTTCTTTCTGGTGCCGCCTTTGTGCCTCCAGGACCTGTTGGGCAAAGGGGAAAGAGCCAGGGGCCTCAGATCTCATGGCACAGGGGCCCGTGAAAAGACGCCCCGAGAGCCCCGGGAAGGAGGAGGCCCTTACCTGAGGTGCTACGTAATAAGGAGTGAACTGTGGGGTCATCAAGTCACCTTGGTCTATCTTGGCAAACCCAAAGTCGCAGAGCTTCACGGGAGCATCCTAGAGCAAGCAACAAGCCGCTTAGGTGAAACGTGTCAGCGTCAGAGCACGGAGCACGGAGCACCTCTCAGAAAGGTTTCTGGGGCTGCTGAAGGAAGGGAGAGAGATACCAGAGCCAAGAGAATCGACAGGGAGGGAGGGAGCCCTGGGGAGCGGATGGCCAATGGCCCAGGACCGAAGGATCCCGGCATGAAGCAGCCAGGAAAGAGGAGGAGTCGGAAGGAACAGCCGCCCGTGGGCTGGCGGGAGGAAGCTGCCTCTCCTGCGGCCGGGAGACAACCGGAGAGGAAGGGAGGCCGCGTTGCTCGCACTGAGTGAATAGTTCAAACAAACAAACAAAAAAGAGAACCAGCACCCAGGCCAATCAACATCCACCTTACCAAAGAATTATCTTTGAAGAGAAGATTCTCAGGTTTAAGGTCTCGATGGGCAATGTTCAAAGAATGACAGTGCTGCAAAGCCAAAGCAATCTGGAAAAGAAGGGGTGGGGGGAGACAAGGGATCAGGAAATGGTCCCCGGACCCTTTCTGAGGCGTTGATGGGCCGCCCCTCAGGGCCGGCTGCTTCTACGGGGCCTATGGGCTCCTTCCAAATTCAACCCCCCGATTAGCCTGCTCGGGATGTTTTGTTCCTTTCTGGCTCCAATTTTAAGCAGGCGAGTTTTAGCAATCCTGGAGTGGGGAGGAAACCCATTTAATAAAAAAAAAAAGGGGGGGGGAGTTGGCTTTTTTACAAGGAGGGAACTGGCTGCGCTTGACGGCTCCCCGCCTTGGGCTAAGCCAACCACCCAGAAGCCACGTGATCCTCAGAATGAAAGCTGAGCGATGACGCCTCTAACTATGGAATGTGCCCCGACGCAGCTCGAGGGTAGGGAAGGCGGATGTGTAGAGAACCCAACACGAAACACGAGGCACCGCACAGTCACAACCCACGAGCCTCTCCTCTCTCATTCTCCAGGGCGAATAGGTGGCACAGCTGAACCCATGGGCTTCTCCCGGGCAACTCAACCAATCCCTCAAGTATCCCCTCACCCACCCTTTTATACGAAAAAGGAAAAGAAGGCACCCCCCTCAGCCATCAAAACCCGGGAAACAAAGGTTGGGATTATAACGAAGCAGGTAATCTTTCAAGAGGGCCAAACGTTGCTTTTCTTTTTTTAATTTTTGTTTTAAAGCTTGCCTCTCCCCAATCCACCTGCTGGGAATCGTTCTTCTTCTATAGTTCTTTTATCCCATGTTGTTTGCTTGTACCAGGGCAGAATAGGAAGGTTTGTGGGAGGGTTAAAACTTGCCTGCTTTGTTACTTCGCTCGCTTGCTTCTCCGTAAAGTGCCGATGTTGGCTGATTCTGTGAAACAGCTCACCCCCTTCCATCATCTCCATGACAATTAGCAGTCGAGACCTGGTTTTCAAAGGATTCCGGTTTAAAATCAAGAAAATTCAGAAAAACCTCTGCCCCAGAGCCCCAGGAAAATATTCTGCAGAAACTACAGTGCTCAGGGCAGCTTAAAGAAAAAGCAACGCAATGGACTTGCAATTTGAAGGTAAGGGCCATAAATATGCCACCGAAACAATGCCATTTCAAGAAAGAAAGAAAGAAAGCCACCATTCTCCTTCTCCTGGACAAAAAAAACACCATTGGCTTGTCATGTGCTCTGTGGTCAAGCCTGCAACCACAGTCCAACCCCATATTTATTTCTGTGTCACCCTCATTTTCCCTTCCAGGCAATAACCTTTTGGAGGTAGTCGTGGGGGGAGGAGTCGCCTTACACGCAAAACAGAAGTCCTGTTTTGTGAGGACGCGGTGGCTCCAGAAGGAACCTGTGCCATCTCACCTTGGACTGGACTCATGGGGGAACTGTACACTGTTCGCGTAGACTTCAATAATCTGGACGATGTTGGGGTGTGTCGCACACATCATGTGAAGTCGGACCTGGTGCAAAACGGGAGAAAACCCACTGAATCCCCAGGGCCTCTGGTCTCGGCCCTCAAAATGCTCCCGTCCCTTACTCTAACAGGACAGAAATCCAAAGCGTTTCTAGATAGCTATTCATAAGAAGCAAAGGGCAACAGAATTACGGTCAGCTTGGGATTTCTTTTTCCACGACCAACTGCCCGAAAAGAGATACCATTTCAGATACGTGGCAACCGAGTGCGCTTTCTGAGCCAGAAAGGAATTCTATCTGCCCAGATGCCCATGTGGTTGAATGCTAGCTGGCTCTAAGATCTGAGATCTTTGTCTTTTTAAAATTAGGTGGTGAAGCAAAACCCGGAGTTTAAAACTCACGGCCTAGGATAGAATTAGACAAAAGGTCAGGCAAGAAGAGATTTAAGTTAAGTGAAAGGCCAACATCAAGCACCACCCCCAGGAAAGTGCAGCGGAGTGGATTGAGTGCTCTGGGCAGGAAACTAACCGGTTTGCCAGGCCAAACCTCTCCTCTGCCCTTTTGACAAGTCAGATTCAGCAGAACTGGAGAAGGCCAGATCTTTCCAGCTCCACTGCCCTGAAGGCCAACAAGGCAAAATGGAGTTTCTAATAATGCAAAAAAAAAAAAAAAAGAGCTACTCTGGATGGCATCATCAAAACAAGCCCCAAACTCATCCATCTGCCACTCTGTCCCACCCTGTGCGGAATCGTGCTGGCCTTAAGGAGAATCTCAGGCGGCTTCTGGCATTGAGTGAAAGAGCCTCCTTTGGACTGGAAGATGACAGGCTCAAGCAAGGCCATTCTTGCCAGTAAATTAATAATTTTGCCCAAGCAGAATCACAAGTCGCTTGCTGTCGTATCAGTTTCTTCAATAAATAAATGCCAAGCTATCAGCATCTTTCTGGGCTCAATTTTAGAAATTCCTAAGCAAATCCTTCCGGGAATGCTCCGGGAATATATTTAGGTCTGTTTATCTTTTCAGAGCCAATTTAATAGCTAAGGGCACCGCCAGGCTTCATTACAAGGCGTTGTGCTATGAGGTTATACTCAGACATTCATTGTGAGTTCTTTTATGCTTTGCAACAATATTTTAGCATTTGGAATATTAGGTTTTATTGATTTAAAACGGTAAATCGCTTTGTCTAACCTCAAGGACGTCCAACCTTGCAACTTTTAAGACCTGTGGACTTCAACTCCCAGAATTCCCCAGCCAGCCAAAGTTCCAAAACTTTTCCATACATAAAATACTGTACCTCATTTCTCGCTTTTGGGCGATCGAGAAGGATTTTCAGTGCAAACCGTTCTTGAGACGATTTTTTGATGCAGACTCTGTGCAGGCAGCAGTAAAAACACCTGGTTAATGGGAGTCTGTGGAAGACTTTGACTTATGGCTGCATTTATTGTCTGATAGCAAATATCAAGGAAAGGATGTCCCAATGCAACCTTTGATTTCTATACACACCTTAATTCAAGAATCCAAGATTTCACAGCTCTCCCCCAAGTTTAAATCCCGGACCAATAAATAAAGATTTTTTACCTTACTGGACCGCTGATTCCAGCTCCCAGCTTCTGAGTCCAGTTAATGTGGTAGTCTTCCAAAATAGAAGTTTCCTGTTTGTTTTGCAAAGGAGAGGAAAAAAGTGAAAGGCCGACAGTGCCAGGTAAGAAGTCCCACCTGTAGTAGTTAAAAATCACAACAAAACCGAGAGGCTGGCAGCACTATAGAGTTTCTGTGTGGGTCACAGTCTGGGCTGCTGGATTACAAGGCTCATCATCCCCAGCTGCAGGGGCCATAAATTCGGACAAGAATAGCAACCCTACCCCCAAAATCATTTGGAGGCTCAGTCCGATTCCCCCTCTCCCCGGGCTGGTCTTATAGGAACTGGGGTCTGGGTGCCAGCTGAGGATGAGGGGAGCTGAGTAGTCCAAGACAAGGGCACTGCCTGGGGATGATGGGAGCAGTAGTCCAACTCAAGAGAGGCAAGGCTGGGGAAGATGGGAGGGGGCGTGCAATCCCCCTCCTCTACCGGCCACCAGCCACAGGGTTTGGGGTGTCCTGGGTGGAGAGAGGGGAGGCGGCCGCAGAGGCAGCCCCAGAAGGGGATTCTGCACGTGCTCAGAGGTCCTCTCGCCCCGCGCCCACCTTGATCATCCTCTCCGCGTCGGGCTCCTCCGACATCCTCCTCCTCCGCCGCCGCCGCCGCCTCAGGCCCGGCTCGGGGGGCTCGGGGGGCGCGCCGGGGGGGCTAGGCGGGGGGCCGCCCCTCCAAGTCGGAGTCGTCGGCGTCGTTGTCCCCGCTGCCTCCACTACCGTCGCCGCTGCCGCCTCCCCCTTCGCCGCCGCCGCCGCCACCGCCGCCGCCACCACCAGCGCCTCCGCCGGGCTGCCGCCTCATCCCCGCCCAGCAGCCGAGGAAGGGGAGCGGGACGGCGGGGAAGCGGGGGCCCGGGAGCCCTCTCCTCGCGGCGGGGAAGAGCGAGGCCACGGGCGGCGGGAGGAAAGGGCCGCAGCCGCCTCAGCCCGGCCGCCGGGGCTCGACTGACGCGGGGCAGCCGCTGGCCATGGCCACCGCTCCGCTTCCCCCACGCCCCGGGCAGCCCCGCCTGATTCAAGAGGGGCGGCCGACGCGCTCCCCGCAGCCGCCGCCTGCCGGATCCCCTTGTCTCCGCGCGGCCTTGACGAGCGAGCCGCGCGGGGCCGATCCCGAGGCAGCTTGGCCGCTGCCGACGCTCTCTGCGAACAAAGCAATCAGGCGGGTGGCCGGGGCAGCCCCGTGCCTACGCGCGACGCCCTGCCTCGGAAGCCCCTCCCTCTTTTCTTCTCTTTCTCCAGTTAAGGCTCCCCCGGGGCTTTCTTCGCCGGGGTGGCGCCTTTGGATGACGTCATGGACGGGGTTATCTGAGGGAAGGAGACAGCCTTTGCCTCGTCCGAGGGAGGGGCGGGGAAATCTCGCTGCGTTCCGGACACGCCCCTTCGCGGTCTTGGTGGGTGGGACGGATCTCCTTCCTCGGCGCCCGCGTTTGTCCAATTCTCGCGAGGTGTCGCGCGGGACGTCCCGCGAGATCTCGAGCGTGGCAGGACGAAGGGGAACCGCTCTGAGGTTGGTCGCCATTTTGGGGAGAGGCGTGACTGACAGGCGAGCTTTTAATTTCAGGTAGAATGTTTTTCAGGTAGGATTAATTAATATCTTTCCTCCCAAACAACCAGAAAAGCCAAACAGCCGCCCAATATCTCCGAAAAATGTATCAAAAGCACGGCCCTAATTTCAGGAGTGGTTGCCTCTATTAAGAACATCTGGAATGCTTATAATTCTCTTATAATTATATATATATAATTATATATATATCATAATTCTATAATTTTTTTTTCTATAATTCCGTGTCTGTTTTAAACCCCCCCCCCCTTTGCCAGTTTCTGATGTAGGTGAGAATTTCACTCTTTGGCCCTGAAGAATTTGATGCTCGATTATGTGATGTAATATGTTAATATTAATTTAAATATAAATAGAATGATATAATAGAGTTATGTTATATCTGTCATGTTGTATCCCTGCTCTTGTGCAACTGGATTATTTATTTATTAATGAGCATCATCCGAGGAAGCAAAACGATTAAAAGTCGATTTAGGTAAATCACGGCACGGGGCAGCTTCTCCAAACCTTGTGGAGGTTTCACACTCCCAGAATTCTTAGCAGGGCAGGGGATTCTGGGAGACGAAATACAGGCGTCTTACAAAGGTCGGGAGTCATTTGCAGGAGGAGATTTCATTGGAGCTTTTGCGGCTGCCCAACCAGCCAGAAAAGATGGGGGGGGGGGCACTTAGGGAATCCACATTCGCCCCCAGATTCTTCCCCAAATCCTGGCCCTTGGCCGCCTGGAGCCCTCGCCTCGGGAAGCAGGTTTATTTCTTCCTTAAATTCATATACCTCCCATCTCATCGGAAGCAGCTCTGGACCGATGCAATACAAAGATACATTAAGCGTAAAATCTTGTATGTATTAGAAAAAGTACAAAAAGAATATAGGAAGAGGTGTCTTACAACACTCAAGAGTAGCCTGCTTCTATAGATCTTCTCTTCGGGTTACATTGGAGTGAAGAATATTCAATTTTCCTTGCTCTTAATTACAAATGTTTGGCCTTGAGAAAATTAATGTTTTAAGCAGAGAAATAAAGACGCCTTAATCATTGGTTACATGTACAATCTGTGAGTCGCCAGATTTTCTTTCCTAATGTAGAATTCTTCAATCCCTCATTAATTTTTTCTACCAAGCATGGGGTGACGTTTATGGACGGTTTCGGGTATTTCCTCTTCAAGAATTCTTTTGTGGGACTTTGATGGTGACCTAGCAGGAAGATAAGAGTGAAAAACATGAAATCCCATCTACAGGTAGTTACCAACTTACAACAGTTCATTGAGTGACCGTTTGAAGTTACAGCGGCACTGAAAAATGTGACTTACGACCGTTTTTCACACTTAACGACCATGGGGAGCTTGCAGCATCCCGAGGGTCAGGGGATCAAAATTCCAACACTTGGCAACTGACTCATGACGGTTGCAGCGTCCCTGGGTCATGTGATTCCCCTTTGGCAACCTGACAAGCGAAGTCACTGGGGGAGCCAGATTCACTTAACAACTGTATTATTAACAACGATAATGATTCACTTAACAAGTGCGTCAAGAAAGGTTGTAAAATGGAGCAAAATTCACTTTACTTTCTTGTTTGCAATAAAATTTTGGGCTCAATTATACTCCTAACCATTGTTTATCAACCACTGTCTATCCTAACCTCCTATTGGGAAGGCAAATAAGGTGTACAAACTTGGTTTAATGTTTCAGACTTCTTACAGTTCAAAAAATAATATCCATTATGCTTTGTTAGAATTGTCAACATCTATCTAGTAAATCATATGGTACTAACTAAAAGTTGCCATCCTAGGACAAAGCAAAATCAGGACTTTTAAAAGGAAATAAATACATGATTATTTAAGTAACAAGACGAGACGTTCTGTTACTTGGGTTGCAGGTCTGCAAATCACAGATGGGCGCTGATTAGAATCAAGGTTAAAAAAGGCTTCCTTGTATTTGACCTAACCTGATCTGAAGATGTTAGTTCAAAGGCAGGAATTGGGAGGGTACTTACCGTTTTTACTTCCAGGTATGGGTTCAGGCCATATTCTCCGCCCTCCCGCCCTTGGCCAGATTCTTTGAACCCTCCAAATGGAGCCTGTGCCCCAAACACATTGTAGCAATTGATCCTGCAAAAGAAACTTTGCATTAGAAATGTTACTGATTGCATATCCTTTGTTATACAAAGTTTTAACAAATTAACATTAGAACTGTAAACTTAAAAGCTGCATTGAATGCATACATTGACAATCTGAGGGCAAGTACTCCTTGGTGATGTGGGAACTCACACACACACACACACATTTTATATATATAAAATTATACTTCCAATGGGTTGGGGACTGCAGCATAGACAGCACATGTGAGCCTCTGCTTTTTCCTTCTGAGTTCCATTCTTAAGTTTAAGGGCTTACCAAACAGTCCCAGCTCGCAAGCCCTGAGAAATGTAGTTTGCTTTATCAATATCCTTTGTGAAAACAGCGGCCGCCAGCCCGTATTTGGTTTCGTTTGCTCTCTGGATAACTTCCTCAATGGTTTTGAATTTAAAGATCTGCATAACAGGCCCAAAAATCTGTAAAAGAAAAACATCTGCAAGATTAAAATGTATTTATATAATAGGATTTTCTCCAATATTATACTACTCCCTCATCTCACATATAAGGATACAAATTTAAGAAAGTGGAATTCAGCAACCTGGTTACATAATGTGAATCAATATAACACCACGAAGGCATAAATTAGAAATATATTATGCTATGATTCTTACCTCTTCTTTGGCTATTTTCATATTGTCCTGCACGTCTCCAAAGATAGTTGGCTGGATAAAGTAGCCCTTATCTGCTGCAGGACTCCCACCACAAAGTAATTTTGCCCCTTCCTTTTTTCCACTGTCAATGTATCCAAGGATCTTCTTATACTGTGTTTCATCCACCTTCAGGAACCACAAAAAGTCAGCACATCAGTTCAGTCTACAAATCTGCTTGTATGAACAAAAATTCACCGAGCATTTAATATGCTGAAGTTTGCAACAATGGCAGTTATTAAAGCCAGTAGCCCTGGGGAAATCATTATAATTTCATTCTGTGAGTTTTTACTTCGTTTTTTAACCCACAAGGATTTTACTGATTAGATTTTAAGAAAGGCTAAGATTTTAAGTTAACGAAAAGATGTCTTTTGTACAATGTACAGTGTCTGAGAGGACTTTGTTTTTCCTGTCTGGAACAATGGCTCCATTTTTCTATAATCCAAGATATTCTTTTAAAGGAGCTCCCGAAAGAGCGGATGGTGGCAGACTGGAATTGTTTGGCTCCCACCTGAGGCCCCTGTTCAGTTTGGAAGTCAAATGGGTTCCCAACTATTCTGGACTTGGCTCTCTCCACGCTCCTCTCCACAAACTCATGATATATATCTTCTTGGACAAAGGTCCGGGATCCAGCACAGCAGCACTGGCCTTGATTGAAGAACAACGCAGAATGAGATTGCTCAACAGCCCAGTCCACTAAAAAAAAAGAAGAGAGAATGGAAAGCATCCAAATGAGGCCATTAGAAACAAGACGGAAAATCCTCCAAACGGTCTCTCTAATTACTGCAGCGAGAGTAGTAACCCTAATCAGTGGATTTAATTTCTCTCCCATCTGGAAATTAGATACTAATTTATTTCTTGCCTCAGCAAACCAGCCTTTATCTGGACCGGTTTCAAATCCCAGCGTGTTCCAACTCCTGTTTTCCTCCTCAGTCCGACAGAGTCAGGATTGAGGAAAGTACATAAAGGCTGAAGAAGGCTGACCTGAAATGCCTTTGCCCTTTCTAAACTGGGCCAATGGATTGGGATATTGTCACCTTCACTGATGGGGTACACAAAATGCATTTCAGTGAAGAGCTTATCCAAATCGCTGGGGTGACTGGAGCTGCTAATCCCCCTCCGGATGCAACTCAACCCCCCTGTCTGCCTCCAGGAAGAAGGTCTTACTTTCAGCATCGGACATGATGATGTTTGGGCTCTTCCCACCAAGCTCCAGAGTCACTCTCTTCATATTGCTGTCTGCTGCAGCCTTCTGGATCAGGTGCCCAACCTGTACAGTTTAAGAATCAAGACGTTTCTATCGGTCAGTAGAACGAGCTATACTTGAGGAAAAGACCAGCAAGGGAAGTGGCTTTGTTTTGTCTTTCCCAATGCAACAAGACATCACTCTACCCTTTTTAAGTTGACATCTAATGGCTGGTTAAGGGAATAAAGATCATTCCTGATACCTGCAGTGAGTATGATTTTATTCCTGGGGGCAATTCCTAAAATCCCAAGAAGTAGCGAAAGACATAAGCCAAAAGTCCCTCTATTGGATCAAGGTAGATCCAAGATTCCTTGAGGCCATGAATGACTCCTCGTTCTGGGCAACCAAAACCCCACTCTGAGAATCACTGCAAAATCTTACTAATCTGATTTATCACATCAAAGACTGAAAGAGAACAAGAGGCCATAACTATTTAGTTCCTCACCGAGGTGGAACCAGTGAATGCAACTTTATCCACTTCCATGTGAGAAGATATAGCAGCCCCAGCTGTAGGTCCATAACCAGGAATAATGTTCACCACGC